TATGCTACTTCTTGAAAGAAGCCAAGATTGATTACATGCTTGATATGACAATGATTGTATTTAATCCTTTGATATACTGGGCTGCTAATATCTTGTCATAAGTTAGAAAAAATGTGTTAAATTAGATCTGTATGGGTGTTTGCAATTAACTATTACAGAGAATGAAAAACAAGTACCAAGATTTTGGGGCTCCATCCTCCAAGCTCCTTATTTTTAAAAATGTCCTTCAGATCATTTATGGCTCTGCTCCACTGATGAATAACTATGACCAAGCTGATTTTTTTCACCAAATGTTTCCAGATGATGATAGTCAAACTATGGGGATTCTCCAGTTGCTACTGCATTTCAAATGGATATGGATCGGGGTAGTTTTTATTGAAAACCACACTGGTGAAAGGTTTGTACAGAATGTATATAGCATGTTTTCCCAGAAAGGTATTTGCTTTGATTTCATAGAAGAACTGCCCAAAGAATCTTTTTCTACTGACATAAGTAGAATGGTAGATGACTGGCTTGAAACATACAGAATTATCATGCAGAGCACCTCCAGTGTTGTCATCCTATACGGAGAAAACCAGATCATGATATTTTTGAGAATGATTCCCTATGTTTCAGTATTTGAAGACATACCTGTGAAAACCAAAGGTAAAGTATGGATTATGACAGCCCAGATGGAGTTCACATCCCTTCCTTTTCAAAAAATCTGGGGAATAGATTTCATCCATGGTGCTCTGTCATTTGCAGTTTCCTCAAAGGAAGTGTTAGGATTTGAGGAATTTGTTCGGACTCGAAACCCAGCTTTGGAAAGCGAAGATAGCTTCATCAATGTCTTCTGGGAACAGGCATTTGAATGCTCTTTACCTAAGGCCTTCATAGATGAGGAGACCAGAGATAGCTGCACTGGGAAGGAGAAGATGGAAGATCTTCCTGCATCTGTTTTTGAAATGGGTATGACTGGCCAGAGTTATAATGTCTACAATGCTGTTTATAATGTTGCATATGCTCTGCAAGCCATGTATTCATCCAAATTCAGACATAGGACAAGGATTAGCCGTGGGAGACAGTTTCTTCAGAATCAACTATGGCAGGTAAGGGCCTCAGTGCATTAACGCAGGAGAGCTACCATAGCTGGAATATGAAATATCTACCTCTCAATTTCATACAGAAGTTGTTATCTGAATGATTTAGATGGTATGGCTGGTATTCCTGGTTTTTTAAAGAAATCAGTTCCATCCCTTTAAAAAGGGTGCAGTCATCACTGTGTGTTCTGTTTATTACCCACAGAAAACATTCACAAAACAGAACTACCATTGTAGTAAGCTAAATAATGACTCTGTAATTAGATATGAAGAAATGTTGCTGGTATTTCTTTTAAAAGCAAGATAGGGACACCATGCGAAGCATGACTTCTGGAATACGTTCCACCTTCCACCAGTAGTGGCAACAGGAGGCATCTGCATTTTCTTCTGCGTGGTGAAGTATTGTGTTGCATCTCTTTGCATGTGTGTCTGTGTGTGTGTGGTGTGTATGTGTATGTTGTTTCTGGGTATGTGCTGGTGTGTGGGTGTGGGTATGTCTAATCAGGAAGAATTCGTATGAGTTGCCTCTCTGTTTACCCCTTGTGTTCGGTCCTTTAGTGTTTATTTATTGATGTATTTAAACAATTTATACAACTGCCCATCTCATAGCAGTGACTCTGGGTGGTGTACAAAAAGTTAAAACCAAAACAACAAAATTAAATCAACAAACCAGATAACAATATCGGAGGTTGAAAAAAAAAAATCCAACTTAAAACAAAGAAAAAACAACGATAAAACTAATCACTAGTTCACCAGCAGAACTTGCTTATCATCTTCACCCAACTGTCTCAGGGAACAGCCAGATCTAAGCAAAAGGGTAGTATGATGTTATTCCATCGTTCATGTATATGTGAGCTCTGAGAAACACAAGGTGGGCTGCATAGCCTTTAATCTGGATTGTGTGACCAGGAGGTAGTATGGCGGTGCTGGGAATGGAGGAGTCATCAACATTTGGAGTTGGTGTCCAGCTGCCTCTCCAATACACTGAGCATTTTTTTCCTGGAATTATTTTCTCTATACTACACAACTGAATCCACCAAATTTTCTCATTCTTTCTATTTTTGGAGAGATAACCTACAGATAGACAGGGTATTAATTGCTAAATAAAGAATTAATTGTCCATGATCATCTAGTCCTCTGTAAATGATCCCCATCACGTATATAAGATACTACAATACCATCTAAAGAAGAGAAGCAACAGTATCAATATGTCAGGCTTCTCTTGGCTAATACTAAAAATGGAAGTATCTTATACTGGTCCTCAAAATTGTATCGTTGTGGTCATCATCATCATCATCATCATCATCATCATCATCATCATCATCGATGTTTACAGCAACCAAACTGGAATGATTCAAGGCTGCTTACATTAAAAACTCAGTAAAACTAATAGAATGCGGAACAGGAAACAGACAGGAGATATAGTTGAATAACATAATGGGGAATTCCATCGATATGTTTTTCACCATGCCAAATCAGTGAAATGATCATTGTAGTTAGAGAGCTTTATTAGAAGAATTAAATTTTTCACATCTACTGGCCATAACATGAATTACAGTATCTATCTACATCTAAAACATCTACATCTACATCTCTCTTCTCCTACCAATTTATGTTTCATGTTCAATAGATTTTTCAGTGTATTTGGATGTGTATATTGTCAATCTTTATTGTAATTTATTTTATTTATCAACGTTGCAGTTTAGCTCTGTTGTTCAGAATAGTTCCTGGTGATTGACAACAAAACAATATAATATAATGTCTACATATGATAGCGTTTGACAGTATTACAATATATAGTGCAGTATATAGATGTATGGATGTATAATGTAAGTATATAATAGTAGAGCTTGAATTGCTTTTACTACTGAAATGCTTAGAGGTCATAAAGGGACAGTAAGGTGACCACTAACTATTCTTTCTGTACTCTTCTTTTGAATGGCTGCACAATCTTATATTGCTTGCATTTAGCTCCATCACTATCTGAGAAGTGTTTCATTTAACAACAGTGCTGGGGAAAAGGTCTCCTTTGATCAAAATGGGAAATTAATTGCTGCATTTGATATTATTAACTGGGTGACATTCCCAAATCAGTCCTTTATTAGAGTCAAAGTTGGAAAGATAGAACCCATGGCTCAACCAGAAGAGGTTCTCACCATTTCTGCAGATGACATACTCTGGCCCACCATGTTTAACCAGGTAGGTCATATTTCAGAAAATATGAATGTTCCATTCCTCTTAATACTTAATGCAAGGGAATCCAGATAACCTCCCATTTGTCAGCCTCATCTTTTGGTGATTACGGGGATGTATATATGTAGTTTCCTGGATCAGCCAAGGTTGTCTATATGTGGCCATCTGCTTGCACAGGATATTGCATTGTTATCCTAAATAGCATGTCAGTTAGAAGTATATTGATTTCTGAATGCTTCATTAAAGAGAGAATGACTAATAATTCACTAAAATATCACATTTACTGCTAAGCAATATTTTATATCACAAGAGAACAGCAAGTGAAATGCAATTGATCCTAATACAGTGCCTGGTCTCATTTACCAACAGACATGTCCTCTTTCCCTGTGCAACAGCAATTGCCCTTCAGGTTATAGAAAGACCAAAACTGAAGGGAAGCCATTTTGTTGTTATGAATGCCTTCCATGTCCAAAAGGGAAGATTTCAAACCAGAATGGTAATAAAATATCCTTCTTTGGCCATGGCTAAAGTAGTGAAAAGTGTGTTTGTTTGCTCTTGTGTAAACCACCATATTATGTTGAGGTGGCCAGGACCAAGATCTCAGGTAGAATCTCTTTTCAGTCATTGTGTGGCTTTGAACTGCTCAGATCTTAATCTGCCTTGTAAGATTATGGAGAAATAAAATGATGAGGTATGGATAGAACATCAAGCGTTTCTTTGAGCTCTCAGTGAAAAGGCAGAACATAAATGCAATATATAAATATGAAACAATGACAGAGAAAAATAAATGGCAAAAGGGGAGGGAAGGAAGGAAGGAAGGAAGACTTTATCAGCTCAAAATATTGATTTGTCTAGCCATTTTTATAATTAATTGATGTAAAAGTCATTAATGGATAGATAAGAATGTGTGTTTTGGTGAGAAGAACAATGCTATCACTATATGTAGCAAAACACTTCAAGAAAGACGTGGGAAATTTCAGCATACTCAGAGGTGCTATAATTGATTTGTTCTTAAACTATTGCTCATTATAATTTTCACTCAATGCAGCACTGGGATGAGTCAATTTCTTCCTTGGGGGAAGGTACTGTGTTCATTAGACAAAAGGACATTCCTCAAATGGAGGGAACTCCCCCATCAGCAGATACTTTTCTAAATCTAATATATATGTATTTGAAAGTATATTCATTTGAGATTAATTACCGAATCCTGTACTGAAATATAAATACCTTGTTTCTTCCCTCTCCCCTTTCCAGACATGGATGAGTGTTTTAATTGCCCAGAAGATCACTATCCAAGCAATAAAAATGATGTCTGCATTCCAAAAGTTATAAGCTTTTTGTCTCATAAGGAACCCTTGGGAATCAGTTTGGCCACCACTGCAATTGTCTTTATTTCTTTAACAGCTCTGATTCTTGCAATTTTCCTTAAGCATAGAGACACTCCTATTGTCAAAGCCAACAACCGGAACCTTACTTATACCCTTCTAATAGCACTCTTGCTCTCCTTTCTATGTCCTTTTCTGTTCATTGGCCAACCAGACAAGTGGGTATGTCCCTTTCGACAAATTGCTTTTGGCATCATCTTCTCCATGGCAGTTTCTTGCATATTGGCCAAAACAATCATTGTGGTTCTTGCTTTCCTGGCTACCAAACCGGGATCTAGAATGATAAAATGGGTGGGTGGGAGATTGAGCCTCTCCATTATTGTTTCCTGCTCCTTTGTTCAAATTACTATCTGTACCATATGGGTGACAACTTATCCCCCTTTTCCAGATTTTGATATGCACTCCATAAAGGAAGAGATTGTACTAGAATGCAATGAAGGTTCCCCTCCCATGTTCTATTGTGTCTTGGGATTTATGGGCTTCCTGGCCATTGTCAGCTTCACTGTGGC